ATTGTTTTTGATTTGATAACTTTGAACTAAACACATTTTCTATTAGCTTCAGATCTTGATCAAAGTTAGGCACCCAGTTCATAGGAGTGCTTATATTGATTTTCTGACATCTTGTTTTCTGTAAAGATTTTATTGGTAGGTTTGCAAATGTGTATCAGACTGTGCAATCTCTCCATGAGTTGGTTTTGAAACCCAGTATGGGATTCTGAGATACATTACCAAGGATATTATTACAAGATAAATCATTTGCTTCATTGAACACATACAACAATGCATATTTCCACTGAGAACAGTGACCTTTGATGTGTATCACCAGTGATCAGTCAAGTAGAAAGTCAAAATATTTTATCAGATTTTCTCAATTTTGGCATGATATTTTCATACAGGACATCTGTTGTTCAAACTCAGGGAAGACTTTATACTGATGAATAAGGTGACCAAGTTTGATAAAGTTTGGAATAGAATTAGTAAAGTTATTATGCACACAATAACAATTATTAACAACAACGACAACAACAACAACAACGACGACGACGACAACGCCGGACAAAATTTTTCCCTTAATAAACCTTTCCCTTCCATCTTTGATGGTACGGGCAAGGTAACAAGATGGCCACCAGTCGGCCATACTTGTTGGAATCACGAAAAAAAAATGACATTCACTTACAACCCAATATGTATGATCATCATACTAACTTTAATCCAAATCGGTGCAGTTATCTCAGAGAAACTGCTGCGGACATGTTTGGCATCAGAAATAGCAAATTTTACATCCAAAATGGCCGCCAGTCCATTTTTTCTCCGATCATAAAATAACTTGACGTACATGTGTAAGACATTATGTATTGTCTTGATGTAAAGTTTGAATGAAATACGTCAATGAGTGTGCGAGATATAGCTCCGGACGGATGTACATCTTTGCAATAGGATCCTACGAACTTGTGTTTAATGGATCTTGGCAATAATTGCCTTTTCAAATCCTCGTAAACTACCAGCTCAATTGCTTTGATACATGTATTTGACATGTAGGTAGAAAGATTTATTTTATGACTACCGGTACTTCAATTTTCGGTACAAAATGTTATTTCCGAATTCTTCTTGGACACTACCAATAGCAGAGCTACTTAGACCGCTATGTAATTTGTTTACAACCATCTACATAGTTTCTTCCCTCGACACCAATCCTTCCTTTATTAAATAATCCGCTTCCCACAAGTCAGAGAATTTATGCACCAAGATTCATCGAAATAAGACTACTTGAGATATCAATGGGTAAAGTTATGGATATTTGGTTTTGTGTTAAAATCTGCTCACACAATTACCTATCGGGTCTGAAATATCAAATAAAAAGGATGAATAAAATTTCATTTAAATGTGATTACCATAGAACCAAGATGTGGAAATGCTGAAAATTGACGGATTATGCAAATTAGATATGCAGATTTTAACCCAAAATGTGGCAGGTTTGTGAATTGTTCTAGCGCATCTATGTAACAAGTTTCACTGAAATTTGACCAGGTGGAAGAGATGTACAGACAGGGTAACTGGAGACGATTGCGAGTTTCGCACACGAGTAAAAAAAAAAATACAATCTCTACAAACAAATTTTGGTTGAACTTTTTTAATTTTTATCAAAAAAGAATACAAGATAAATTTGATACAAAAATTCTGAAGAAATTTTTTTTCCCCACTGTTTACAATCAAATTAATGTGGTCTGCTTCATTGCCATCAGTAAAAACAAGAGAATCGCTAAAACGCACAAAATGTATCCCAGGTTCAGCGACATCAAATAAAACAGCACAGGTAAATTGCAAGAACTTGCGAACTGAAACAAAAATAATTCCCCTAAATTAAAAGCAAGTACCATCTAAAGTCCAATTATAAACCGCAACCCTTGTTGAGAGTTAAATTAAAATTCCAGACAAACATTAATAACTGCATCTCCAACTTCAAGAAATTTACTGTAATATCCATTTAATAGAAAGCATCCAATTCCAGAATTAGGTATAAATTCCAAACATCCTAGCATACACTTATTTACTAACTCTGGTAACACTGATCACACTGACTAGTCATTTGAAGGTATATAAATTGGCAGTGATTTTTCTCAAAACTGAATTTAAATTGTTAGTGTGGAAATTTCAGTAGTTTTGAAATTCCAACATTGTAATACTAACTGCAGTAATAAAGGGACTTTATTGTTAATAAAAACTGCTCATTGTGACAGCACCACCCTACTTTTATGCAAGACCCATTCAGGCAGGACTGGTGGTACCAGCAGTAGTTTACAGTGCACTTAACAATTGCAGCTCAAATTTCTACAAACTGCATTTTGTGAATTAAAGACTGAATAGGAAATTAATTTCACACTCAACATCTTCAACTGACCTATAGAGGTGAAAGAGTTAGTCAAAATTGTCAACGAGTTTCACATTGTAAAATCAGCACAAATTGCCTTAAAAAAACATTGAATACTTCTATGGGATCTTGGGATTTAGCTTCAGAAGCCAATGAATGTTACTATGATAATTTGCTGAAGTAAATATTTGAAAACAAGATAGCAATGATTAGATAATAAACTAATAGTTGCCAATGGCTGGTATAATTAATACTGCTACTTGCCACTTCTGATGCACAATGACATGTTACTTTTTCTCAACAGAAAACATTTTTTAACTGCTCTTAAAAATATTTGCTTTATTACATTTCTATACATGTACTTTTGGGAAAATAAAACCTTTAAATATCTGTAATTAGAAATTTCTTAGACATTATATAAATTAAAGTCATTTTTTTTTAACCTTACTGAAATTAAAGCTGAAAACGTTTTGCTACATGTCAAGACGTCCAAAGATGGCACCTTATTCCATGGTTTTACTAAAAGTGGGAAAAGTTTTCTCTGGAGAAGGGAACAATTTTTTACCTGAATGGAATTTGACCAACCAGCAGGCCCAGTGTGTAGAAATGTAAAATGTAGACATTTTTCAAAGTTAAGAAAAAGAAATTGAGTACAATGCAAGAAATAACCAGTTTCAAACATAATATTTGGCTGAACGCAAGTTAATTGATGTCATCTTTCAATAATTTTTAAGAATTCATTAGTTTTTTTTTTTACAACTGATTGCAAATTATTAATAAAATCCAAACTACATGAGAAGTCTAGGCGGCAATGACTACTTCTCACAGGAAAACAAGTATTTTTACAAACAAAACTCAGATTCTTTCTGATTTTCTCTAACTTAATTATTGATTTGAAAGTTCAAATTTTTTTTTTTTTGCAGACTTATGGTAAATCAACACATTGAAGTGAAGGCACTGTTATATCTGGTAACAATATGCCTATCTAAGAAGTAAATGGATATGTACATACAAACTCTGGCAGTGTGCACACAATTCCCCAGTCACAATGCAAAAATATCAATATTCTGCCTAAAAAACCAAATGCTATTTAACAAGGCAGATAAAAACAATCACATACAAATTTCTAAGGTGCTTGTAAATAGTACAGTCCCTGCACATGTCAGAAAACTTGTCTCTGTCAGTTTTCTATTTAGTATTGTCTGCAACAAAACAAGGAGTATTGGGGAAGACAAAACAAGATTAATATTATAGTACAAGATGAGAACTAGTCATTTATTTTCATGGCATTTCTGTTCCAATTAAGCTTTAGCCAAGATAATAAATTACTACTCAAGTGAAAAAAAAAAAAAAAATATCTTGTGTGTCTACGCTTTTAAATTGATCCCAATAATACCATTTTAAACCAATCAATAGCCAATTAGTTTATTGGCTGAATGTAATTACATTTTGTAGATATTCAAATCATATGTTTTATTATAAGTAGCTTAACTGCTGTACATGTGGATCTCAAAAATAATATCCTATAATTGCAAAAATCATGCAGCAAGAGCTAAATATCCTCAATCTTTGAGAAAGTTCTCCAGGCAATTGTGCCTGTCAAAATAAGTTAGATTTTGTCCTTTTCATCCTTTCCAACTCAGACGCTTTCCCTGAAAATCACCTGCAAATACAGCAAAAGATAATGAGCTAGATTTAAAATCAGTATCATTATGATCACACTAAAGGAAACCAGGTTACTGTTAAAGCTGCCTATGTTATTTGTCAATGTTGCATTGAGACCAAGGCATAGCCTTTATTTACAACTATGTCAATACACACTGTATAAAAAAGTTATTCTTTGTTTGGATCTTACCATATTGAGTTCATAAACCATGTATAAACCTAATTTGGGCTTACAAGGAATGTTTGTTTCTAAAAAAAAAATTACCATATAAAGTTATACTTCATTGTGTACTTCAGGCGCTTGGTGCTCATAGTCACCACTCTGATTTTCAGCACTGCGGCTTCGGTAAGCACCCTGTTGTTGACGACCTCCGCCTCTGTTATAACCACTGCCTCTATTTCTATTACCACGGTAACCACGATAACCCCAACCACGATAGCCTCGCCAGCCACGCCCTCTTCCTCTACGCCAGTTATTTACGGGTACACCAAATGTCTCTGCATTGAGGACTCTTTCTTCTCTCCATGAAGGGTGGTTTCTGACGCTGCACACAAACACAATAAGATATCATTGTTAATTTCAAGTGGGAGATTCTCACAATTCTTAGAGTCACTAATTAACTTGGAGTATAATTTCACTTTGTCAGTGGCTCACAATAAAGACACTGGTTAACAATCAACTAAATTGAGTTAGCACAGTATACAAAGCCAGACATCTCTATAAAAATCAAAGAAAGCTTAGAAAGAACTCCCGTGTGCTGAGAGTAATGAAGACACATTAAAAATTAATTCAAAATTACTTGTACATGAGATATTGATAGAAAAGCTGAAAACTAATTATGTACATCAGGTAACTAATATGAACAGAACAGAACAGAACAAAAAAAATATGAATTATTATGCTAATTAGAGAATTAATATGAACAAATTTTAACCCAAAATTAATCAGGCCTGTCTATTGTCCTAGAGCATTTATGTACCAAATTTTATTCAAATGTGATGATCAGTAATTGAGATATCAGTGTTAATTATGTTAATTAGGGGTGATCTCATATTCAAACAAGCGGGTCAAACCTACGAAAACCCAAACCGCCCTAAACCGCCCGAACAAAACCCAGTTTTGCGGTTTGGAAGTTTAAACAATAGACAGTGCGGTTCAGGACGACCGCACGAATTTGCATAAAAACTGCGGTTCGAACCGATCTCATTCACACCTCATTCAAGCTGTTGTTTATTTTTAGGATTGACAGTTTACATTGCTTTTTGAAGACGAGATAGTTGTCTGAAAAATGTGTCGATTTATTTTGTACAGTAGTCATTTTACAGTGTGTCTTGCCTAAAAAAACAACACTATCATATATCGGTGAACAGCGTGCTGAATAAATTGTTTTGTTTTGATAAACTGTTATGCTCGTGTCGCAAATTGAGCAGAGGACGTGAATCAGACTTTTCATTGGGCTGGACAATTGATATGTGTCTCTGACAGCTAATAAGTATCAGAAGACGAACATTTGTTGATACAAAGTTGCACTTGAGACATACGCTACAGTGTTCAAGCCTTTACTACTGTTGCGCGTTCAATTTTCAAACAGTTCTTTCAGGAGTGCGTCATCGCAAAATCCGGAAAAACAAATGCAGCGTACGCGAAACGAAGTATCAAAACAGAAAATTAAATTAAATGGACTCGCGCTGATTATTTAAGGCTATTCATCTGCAGACGAGACTGCTTATAAAATACGAACCCTGACCTCTGAAAATACCTTATTCATAGAGTGCCTTTTACCTAAGACCGTCGCCCAAGGCGACACAGTGCACGTTGCGATA